GGGCCCCCCCGGGGCCCGGGGGGGCCCCGGGGCCCCGGGGGCCCCCGGGGGCCCCCTAGAGGAAGGGGGCCCCCAGGGGCCCCTGGAGGTGGCGTTGTGCGAGGTGTCTCTACACCTTTTCAGACTTGTGACGGGAGATATGTTGGAGACAGAATTAAAAACAATTAATGTCATTAGTTTGACTTTTTCTGGGTTTGTGCCCCACGGAGCTGCTGCAGGTGGGGCCCCCAGGGTCCGGGGGGCCCCCGGTGGTACAGGGGGCCCCAGGGTACTGGGGGCCCCCGGGGGTACGGGGGGCCCCTGCAGCGCCCGCAGTAGCTCGTGTACAATTGAAGCATTTTTCACTCGCCCCAAAACAGAGCAGCAGCAGCAGCAACAGCAACAGCAGCAGCAGCAGCAGCACCAGGTGTCGGGCCAAAGGGACGCGGGGAGACAGGAAAACGAAGGAGACGCTGGTTGGACGTCTGTGTCCCCAGAGAGCAGCAGCGGCAACAGCAGCAGCAGCAGCAGCAGCAAAAGGCGTTCCGGCTGCTTTAAAAGTTCCCCTGATGTCATAAGTGTCTCTTCACGGGAAAATTCCCCCTCTGAGCCCGTGGGGTGTACGTACACCCCAGACCCCGCAGTGAAGATCTCCACAGAAAGCTCCCTAGACACCTCAGACGAGGAAGTTACCGAAGTCCCTGCTGCTGCTGCTGCTGCTGCTGCTGCTGCTGTGGGGTCTCCGCACAGACAAATGGGGAGGCAGCAGCAGGAGACACGAGTGAGCGCTGGGCCCAGAGGAAATGTAGGAAGCAATGCTGCAGCAGCAACAGCAACAGCAGCAGCAGCAACAGCAGCAGCATCAGCAACAGCAGCAGCAGCAGCTAGCCCAAATAAAGCTAATAGAAGAAAAAGACAAAAAACAGACAGCAGCAAAAGAAGGGCGCGGAGGCCCACGCGAGGTGTACGTACACCCGAAGTAGACCTGACGCATTTCTTTCCGCCAAAACCCCACAAGTAATTTATTTTGTTTTATTTTATTCATTTCATTTTATTTCATTTTATTTCATTTCATTTTATTTTATCTTTTTTGTTTATTTTCTTTATGCATGCAACTAAATTCATTGTCTTTTATCTGGGGCATGCAAAAGGAGAAACTGCAAAATAAAGAAAAACAACAAAGAGACACGAAGTGCTGAACGCTGAGACACTCTCCTTGCCTTCA